GGTTTGGAGAAGCCTTTTTTATAAAACAATATTGTTTTCATGATTGGGGATCTCTTTTTTACTTATATATCATGCATGGTTAAATATGGACAAATTTTGTTCAAATTTAACCAGCTTCGTTTAGTAGGGTTTGGGGAAGCATTTTTTATAAAACAATATAGTTTTTATGATTGGGGAACTCTTTTTTACTTATATATCATGCATGGTTAAATATGGACAAATTTTGTTCAAATTTAACCAGCTTCGTTTTGTAGGGTTTGGAGAAGCCTTTTTTATAAAACAATATTGTTTTCATGATTGGGGATCTCTTTTTTACTTATATATCATGCATGGTTAAATATGGACAAATTTTGTCCAAATTTAACCAGCTTCGTTTAGTAGGGTTTGGAGAAGCCTTTTTTATAAAACAATATTGTTTTCATCATTGGGGATCTCTTTTTTACTTATATATCATGCATGGTTAAATATGGACAAATTTTGTTCAAATTTAACCAGCTTCATTTAGTAGGGTTTGGGAAGCATTTTTTATAAAACAATATAGTTTTCATGATTGGGGAACTCTTTTTTACCTATAAATCATGCATGGTTAAATATGGACAAATTTTGTTCAAATTTAACCAGCTTCGTTTAGTAGTGTTTGGAGAAGCCTTTTTTATAAAACAATATTGTTTTCATGATTGGGGATCTCTTTTTTACTTATATATCATGCATGGTTAAATATCGACAAATTTTGTTCAAATTTAACCAGCTTCGTTTAGTAGGGTTTGGGGAAGTATTTTTTATAAAACAATATAGTTTTTATGATTGGGGATCTCTTTTTTACTTATATATCATGCATGGTTAAATATCGACAAATTTTGTTCAAATTTAACCAGCTTCGTTTAGTAGGGTTTGGAGAAGCCTTTTTTATAAAACAATATTGTTTTCATGATTGGGGATCTCTTTTTTACTTATATATCATGCATGGTTAAATATGGACAAATTTTGTTCAAATTTAACCAGCTTCGTTTAGTAGGGTTTGGGGAAGCATTTTTTATAAAACAATATAGTTTTTATGATTGGGGAACTCTTTTTTACTTATATATCATGCATGGTTAAATATGGACAAATTTTGTTCAAATTTAACCAGCTTCGTTTTGTAGGGTTTGGAGAAGCCTTTTTTATAAAACAATATTGTTTTCATGATTGGGGATCTCTTTTTTACTTATATATCATGCATGGTTAAATATGGACAAATTTTGTCCAAATTTAACCAGCTTCGTTTAGTAGGGTTTGGAGAAGCCTTTTTTATAAAACAATATTGTTTTCATCATTGGGGATCTCTTTTTTACTTATATATCATGCATGGTTAAATATGGACAAATTTTGTTCAAATTTAACCAGCTTCATTTAGTAGGGTTTGGGAAGCATTTTTTATAAAACAATATAGTTTTCATGATTGGGGAACTCTTTTTTACCTATAAATCATGCATGGTTAAATATGGACAAATTTTGTTCAAATTTAACCAGCTTCGTTTAGTAGTGTTTGGAGAAGCCTTTTTTATAAAAAATATTGTTTTCATGATTGGGGATCTCTTTTTTACTTATATATCATGCATGGTTAAATATGGACAAATTTTGTTCAAATTTAACCAGCTTCGTTTAGTAGGGTTTGGGGAAGCATTTTTTATAAAACAATATAGTTTTTATGATTGGGGAACTCTTTTTTACTTACATATCATGCATGGTTAAATTAAATATATGGACAAATTTTGTTCAAATTTAACCAGCTTCGTTTAGTAGGGTTTGGAGAAACCGTTTTTATAAAACAATATTGTTTTCATGATTGAGGATCTCTTTTTTACTTATATATCATGCATGGTTAAATATGGACAAATTTTGTTCAAATTAAACCAGTATCGTTTAAATCTTTCGGGGAAGCATTATTTACAAAACAATTAAGAAATAGAAAACATTTTCCGTGTTTCTATACAGTTATAGAAACACGCGTGCGAGTTTGGGAGAACGAGAAATAATAAGTGGGAAAACGAGCCCGTAGGGCGAGTTTTTCCACGTTATTTCGAGTTTTTCCACGTTATTTGGGGACTTTTTTTTACGTATATGTCATGCATGGTTAAATATCGACAAATTTTATTTAAATTTGACCAGCTTCGTTAAATAACTTTCGGGAAAGAATTTTTAAAGTAAAAATACTGTTTTCTGCATTGCGGCACTCCTTTTTACTTATATATCATGCATGGTTAAATATGGACAAATTTTGTTCAAATTAAACCAGCTTCGTTTAATAGCTTTTGGGAAATAATTTTTAACGTAAAAATTCTGTTTTCTGGATTGGGGATCTCTTTTTCACTTATATGTCATGCATGGTTAAGTATGGACGTGCTTTCCCAAGTTATGCTTGGAGTCTGATAAAACCACAGTTAATAGAATTTAATTTTCAAGTCAAGGTTGAGGAGCTTAGCAAGACGAATACCATTGTTAAGTTTGGCTAAAATACAATCGACACGTGACGAGAAAGGAACCGTTTTTTGAATAAACCTGGACAATAACATAATTAATGAGCTGAATTGTACTTTTATTTCGTCTCCAAACCATGTATATTTTATTATCTGTGATAAAACATAACTACAGTTTTAAACGAAAAACAAGCGAACGGGACTTGAATAGAATGGCAATAACAGGCATTCATCCATGGTATTTCACACATATCCACATTGCACCCGGGTTTCGCCAAAAAGAAACAAAAAATTCGTACCATTTCAAAATAAATAAATTTGTCCCGTTTCAAAATAAATTTTTGATTGGAAAGAACACCGCGCCGTTTATTTTGTGGGCCGTCGACTTCAGCTCAGCTGGTATCTGGGTTTTCTCAACATCCAACCTCTCTTTAAAGGTATATGTTTTAGCGTCAAAGCGAGCATGCCTACTGTGATGCAAACGAAAGGCATATAACCACATTGTTATTATATTAACGCGTGTATTCACATTATCGTCTCATATACCAGAACGGAATGATAAATGTACAAATGTATTTCATAATTATTTTTTTAAAATAACATTGCTTTGGAGCATAACTCCATGTACCTGATTATTCATATCATACATCACTGATAAACTGTTACAGTACGTGTTTGTGGGTGCGTTAATAAATATTATTCATTTATTTATTATTTTCTTTATCTCTTTATATATTATTAACACTAGGTAAGTGACAGACTACTTGAAAAGTGATCAGGGCTATGAAGTAAAAACCGTGGCACAGAAAGAGGTCCAGTTATCAAATTGAAAAATTTTGGGTGAACAAAAATTCCCTTTCGAAATTTCCTCACCTCCTAATCACTTTCTGATAGTCTATCCTAACTTAGGCCACATTTTTTCAATATAAAATGTCTTTGTCTATTTTTGTAATTGGACTATTCTCTTCCTTTTCCAGTTTTAGCCGTAATTGTACTTGGTGACTGAACCAGATATAAGGTTAATAGTCATAGGGTTTTGAAAATGCCATGTGTGGATATGATTCGAGGAGTGGATATGATTTGAGGAGGAGATTTGATATGGATGGAACTGGTTTCTTTCACCTATATTCCACTCTGATTGTTGATCAAGCAGAAAAATTTCTTTTCAAAGAATTATTATCTATCCCACCACAAACTTTCCAGATCTGACATTTCGGCCATAAACAGCAACACTTTTCATATGTAGAACGAGTCTGTGTGGCAAACTTTGTACTGGTAGAATTCTAAAACACTTAAATTTTCCATGGTACAAATTAATACCTTTGATGTTTATATTTAAGGCATTCTATAATAATTGCAGTTGTCTGTAATGTGACCATGTTTCAACATGATAATAGAATGCCCTTGTGAGCGCAACTGTGCAATGCATGTTTACTATTTAAAGGGCCACCTTATGCAACACATATTTAGTACAACCATAGAATACCAGTTCAGAAACTAATGAAATACATGGCCACTGGCTATCCACCATACACTGCACCTACTGACCTACATGTAAACACTTCGATATTGAATTTAGCCTTAAGTTTGCAGCATTATATCCATGTGGCTACATAGCCAAACAGTAAAGGAACCTAGTGATGGAACATAGCCATATAAACATGCACCCAACTAGATGGTTTTGAATGTTGGTAATTGCAATCTTATACCTAAGATGTAATTTACTTCAGCTTGAAATTGTGCAGTTATCGCAGTTTATAAACCGCTTTTAGACATTTAGATTTTAGACAGAATTTAGGTTATGGCCTTCATTATGCTGTAGTAATTATTTCAAATGCATAAGGCCAGGTCAAACGTCAAACTTTTCATGCATCAAACCTAATGATAACAAGCTAAGTTTTTTGTTTCATTTTATTTGCATTATGTTTGGTGCATGAAAAGTTTGACGTTTGACCCAAGCCAAATCCATTGATCAGATTGCTATTATCACACACTAAAATGTTACAATGTACTGTTTGTACAATATATATATATATTCCCTATACATTATTATCCGTACAAATTATACACTATTGACTACCCCAGAACAACCTTTAAATCCCTAGAAGTCAGGGCCGTAGCTAGAAGCTTAATTGGGGGGGGGTGCATATTCATATATTCGTCTTATGCCCGAATGATTTCTTTTGTATGCTATTGTTCCTATGGTATATAAACATGAATATATGAATATACACCCCCCCAATTAAGCGGTCTAGCTACGGCCCTGCTAGAAGTGGGATTGAAGACATGTCTTCGACGAATATCTTACCTCGTTAGTACTTTTATCATCGCACAGTTCATCGACATCGTCAATATTTACATCCAAATCGACCTCATGCATATTCGTACTTGCCTGACGTGCGGCCATCTTGGATTTTGTTTTTGAACTTAGTAACCTGGCCGTGGTTAAACTTGTTGGTTTTTGAACAAATTTTGTCTGAAATAATATCTGCCTTGTAACCACAGGACCCACGCTTTTTGTGACGCCAAGTGGAAGCACAAGTCAAAACAAACGTGCAAGAAGTCACAGATATGTGATCCTTCAGCATTTTCATGCATAATTTCAAAGTATAGTTGATATTTGTCGCTTTTTCGTTTGCAAACGCTTGAAAAGACCAATGTGTTCTTCAAACAACCTGGAATGAATTTACAATTACACTTCTGCTTGTGTTCCCTGCGACAGATTAAAAATGCTGGACCAAAATACTGTGCAGCAAGAATGCAATTTCTTTCACGTGTGGACAAATGTACGAAAATTTCAGCAGTCGCATTATCACAAACTTCTTCAAAGAAGGTATTGTACGATATTAATTTCTTCAAGCTTCCTTACTAGTATATGCTATTCGATCAAGTGTAAACTATTATTAAAGCGAGGCTTTAAAATATGTTTTTTCTGGCGAGTTTATATTTAATTGCACCTCGAATTGCACAATTTACATATCATTAGATAGTAGATGTATTAGCAATAATATGTGGTTTCCACCTCTGGTTGAGCAGCTGTTTACTAGTGACAAAAATACCTTGAGCTTTCTATTTTTATGTTAGATAATAGGAAACATAGCAAATGTGAATAATTATTGCGTTGTGGGCCTCAGGAGAGGGATGTACATAATTATACCTTCATATATTAATTGATTTTTGACTGAACATGTGGTCTGTATTGTGAAATATCAGACAGAAATATCAGATATTTCACAGTACAGACCGAACATGCAAGGTCAATAATTGGTTTATTACATGGCTGAACCAGGGGTTCCGGAACCACAGGGGCAGCAACCCCCCCCCCTGCCCTTTGCTTACAGGAGTGAGCGGGGGCAGCCCTGTTCCCTTTACTACCATATAAAAGTATCATAAATTCAACATTTAATCATGATGCCTACTTTTCACATAAAAACTAACTGGTAATATTATTGAAAATGCATACTCCCATGGATTTGCAAGTTCGCATGTACTTGTAAATTTGAGTTTCCTCTTCGTGTGGTTGCTAAGGTAATTTGAATGGGCCCTTTCTAAAACTCTGCCTGGCTAAACAGCTTCCGGCGCCCCTGGGCTGAACTGCATAAGACATCCGGGATACTGGTCCGGATACCGAATATACAGTCCACAGTCTCGATATGGGGTTTTACGGACCACTCTTCCACCACTCAGAAAAGAGGATTTTGAAAAGCCACATAATATATTTATATATATAGTCACTTTGTCCCAACTGGTTTCTTATTAAGGCAGCTGTTTTTACAGCATGTAAACAATCTATATAGTAGCCCCTGAAGTGCCTAGGGGAGAGCTAGCCTTTGTACTGGTGGATGTATAGTTATTTTGTACCAAGTAAAATACCCAAATATAGGTGCTTTTCACCAAATTTATGCGTGCTAATTTCAGTGTTTTTGTTGTATCGAAACCATTTGTGGACCATGCATGCGTACAATAATCTTCTTCAGTAATTGTTAAAATATCCTTGTTATATATATATATATATGGAAATGGAGCATTTGCAGTTCTAGGTAGTACAAACAGAAATAGAATTTTAGAATTTTCTTAGATAGGTCTCATTCTTTATTAATACTGCAAGTTACTGTAATGGTTAGCTGGTACCATTTTGCTGGTACCAATAATGGAAATTTCGAGGTAAAAACTTGTTAAAAATGATGAAGGCTCTGAAAAGACTATTTGCACAGAAAAACTGGCTTGATAGCTTTTCAACAAACATCCTGAATTTACAAACCAATGGGCTTAAAAGGCAATGGGAGAGGAGGCAGTGGGTATTGAGGCACATAGCTCTGGCAAAACAGTTGACAAACAAGTTGTTTTTATGTCCCAAATAAAAACATTGTCCTCACAAATGCGTTGCAACTTGCAAGTATTTTCAAGTTAAAAAATTTTGAAAAATATTTGCATCCATACACACTTAGTTTGCGAGAGGCAAGGCTTTAGTTTAGTACAAATTTAATGATAAAATTTAAACCTTGCCATTCTTAAATATTTTCAGCCATGCTATGATGATACTGATAAGGTAGATCGAGTTGAGGTCTTGATGATAAAAAATCTACTTGGTAAATCTGTCGGAAGCATTACCTCAGTGGGTGAAGGACCCTGCACTTCAAAATATGGAGAATTCAATCATAGGAATCAGTTGATTTTGCAAAATATATTATTGGGACCAAAATATTCTAGGAAAACGCAAGAGCAACTTATCAAAGAAAATTTAGTTGGAGTTAATGATGAGATGTGGTATTTAGCGAAGATTGATGGTGAATGTCCAAAAAAAGATCTTAGAGACAATGTCGTTCAGCTCAGAAATTCGATCGTGCAGAACAAGGCACAGTGCAGTAAAGATGATTCCGTTATTAAAAGAAGAACAAGCAGTGGTCCTTCATCAGAGCAACTAGCACTTGTACATCTGAAGTTACGTGAGGAGGTAATTGCTACTTGACTTAAGCTGCTTACGTCACTTCTTACTAATGTTAATGACGCGGAATTTATTTTGATTTCCGTGGGGCAAAAAAAATTGACGCCATGTATTCTAAATCTCGCTTTTTATAAAATCGTATTTGTATCAATATGAAAATAGTTTCTCATATGTTTTTAGCTTCCAAGTTTTTTTTATGGTCATCATCAATATTCTATCTATAGTAAGAATATTCTATTTGATAACAAATTAACGAGAACTAGGACAAGGTAAAGTCCTGTTTATATCTCTGTGCATTTCAAAACGAATAAACACAAAGAAAATTACGATTTACGACTGTAAAACCTGAGCTCAGGCTGGTGGCTCAGGCCCACAAATTTCCAACCTTGTACCCAGACCTTTTTCGTACCTTTAAGCAGCCTGCATACCTGTGCAAACTACTTTCCTATCATGTGCAAATACAAAAGAATAAAGTCGCTTCGCGCGAAAAATATCGCTAGTGGAAAACAAGCTTTATTCAAGACATACAATAAACATTGTCATTGAGTTTCAGACTACATTCATGACTGTAATCCAATTATAAACGATGTGTTTCCAGTAATATCATTTTTGGCTGAAAATTTTGTATTTATATCTCTATAAGGACTCTGAAATCTTACAAGTACATAATGAACCTAATGGCGTATGCAGGTAGATTTTTCTGGACAGGAGCAACACTCGATATAATTCGTATTACGAAACATTCCGAAGATAACACAATCAGAGTTCGCTGGACAGCCAAAGGAATCCCTTGGTACAGACTGCCTTTCTTTTCACTTTCTGGCAAACCACAGTCGCTGTTTTATCGGTAGGATTAATTACTCTGGTCATGCATGAAAACACAAATTACACTTGCTTGTTTGCGGCGATTTTTCCCTTTTGTTTTTGAACGAATGGTTAGGAATACTGTGATGTAACTGTGCCCTGAATTGAAACACCAAACCTATCCATTCGTTCACATCTATCCAAGCAAATGCATCTAGTGAATAAATGGGCCTTATAAGCAGATCATGAAAATCGTGCAACACATGTCTTGCTCACGTCATATATTGATTGTTTTTAAGATATGTCGATGGTTTCTCAATATTTGAAGTGGGACGTGATGGACTTGTTCATTGCCATCGCTTAGATAAGGTAATAAGACAAGTTGTCCATAGCAATATTCCACTTTCTGTTCAAAATAATGACCTCGTGCTTAATACCAAGTATTTTGACACAAATAAGCTATATTCAAGTAGTTTTCAAGTAAGTAAGTAATAAGTTTTCAAGTAGTAATATATATGCAGGGGGTGGTAAAAAAAGTAGTGGTAAAAAACGTAGCTCCCCTCCCATAACTATATGAGAAGAAGGCACTAACAAATCATGTCCATTTGTCTGTATTCAATCAGTTTTATATCTTTGTGATTCAAGCTTGTGATTTAGAGTAATAGGATGTGAGAAAAACTACACGAATTGTTTTCTAAACTAAAACCTAAGATAGGCGCTTTTTGGCAGAAATTCAGTGAAAAATAATTTTGCTGTATACTTAGCGCTAATATTTTACATTATGTAATAATATCCGAAAAGATAATTCATACAGGTGGGTTTTGAGTACAATTTCATTACCACACAAACAACCAAAGTTCAGAGGACTGTATCATGGCCTATCATGTCATTTAGTGTCGTTAAAGCACAATTTTACGCATGAATCAAATTATTTTAATTAGTTATTTCACTGTTCATATTGTATTGCATTTCTGATAAATTTGCTATGAATAGTTGCATTTCTGAAGAATTTGCTGTGAATCAGACAGTTGTGAATCAGACATGGACAAACAATTACATAATTTCCATGCATATCTGCTTGAAAACCGCCATCTTGAATTTTTATGAAAAGTGCAACAAATAGACTTTATAATCACAATTTTTATCATCTGGCTCCTAAAACTAAAGAAATATGCGCAAATGCATAATATTTATTGGCGCTACCCTCATTTATAGTTAAAAGATATTGGTGTGCCACATTTCGTTGGGGGCCACTTTTTTTTCACCACGGTATACCACCCCCTGTACATATAAATATAGCTACAGCTACAGTACATGGACTTTACGTTGAACATAGCGTAAAGCAAGAAATAACTTATTATTATTATAAATATCTAGGTTATACCTGCCTCTACTCCAGAGCGCCAAACATGGAGGGATCATCAGAATGCAGGTTTTATCTTTGTTGAGCCTGGGAGAGATCAGGCAAGAACCGTGTCCTTATGAAGCATTTCAAGTCAAAACTGAAGACATGTTAAAGTAGATGAATTCTTATATATAAGGCTGAGTATATATCTATAATTCTATAATGTATGTATATAGGAAATTTTTTCATATTTATGAAGAGTGTGATTAGGATAAATCGGTGAAATATGGGATGTTTTATATTGAAATCTATATAGAGCTGTAAAATTCCACTTGTCCGTGCTCCGCACCATACTTGTATGTTCAATTTGAATTCTGCTTTACCAACTTCGCAATTGAGATCAACATTCATCAATCCTGCTTTTATGAAGTTGAAACGCTGGTGTAACCCATCGTCCACACGAGCACTGCTCACCTTAAAATAGGATACGTAAATTTGTCGCCAAATTAACGGTGTAACATTTTGTCTTTGCTGGCGGGAATAAACGCGCTAAAAATACGCTGTTACTTCAGTTATTTATTTTGTGAGGTAAAATTGAAACCGTCCTTGATTGAATACAACTTATATTCAGAAAGGTATTTTTGTCTTGATTTCTTTCTGTATTAATTTGCTCTGCTTCTAAAGTCAAGTCCTCTTGTAGTACATACGGCATAGAGAAACGAGGGATAGTCTAGTAGAGACTGTGGGTTAGAACTTAGGGCCTGCATGTTCGTATGAGACGGGCCAGCCCATTTCATATGAGCCCGTTGAAGGCGAGATCTCATATGAACGTGCCCTTAGATCAGAACGGTTGAAAATTGACCACTAGTCCAGACCTCTGCATTTTAAGCGAACATAAACTTTATTTAAATTTTAATCTTTATACTTCGTACCTGCCCAGTTAAATGATCCTATTCTTCCAGAGCATTTGGGACAGCAAAGCTTGAATGAAATCAAAATATATTTAGCATTGCCTCTGCTAAAATTTCGCGCACTCCTCAGACATCGAAGTTGCATAAAGGTGGTAGAAAAGGTGGCAAATGGTAAAGGAAAATTTCAATCATTCCAATTACCATTGAGTTTAAAACCACACACCTTTCCTTCAACTGTACCCACTATCAATGACGTCATCCATGGTAAAGGTTCAATGAAATACGACGTGCACTGGCTCGATTTCGTCTTTTCCTCCGTTGATGACTTCTCTCTCCAAGACATAAATTCTTCACCTGAACCAGGTACATGTCCCAGACAGTTTTCACTGCAAAACAACTTCTGTCTAAATAACAAAGAGAATGTTACTGCTTGTCAGCATAATTTAAGATATGAAAAATACGTATCCGAGTGTTTTTAGGCTTTCTGCAAACTATGTATTATAAATTGTAGTACATAATTTACCTGCACTTTTTGCATTTGTAGTTATTCTGTTTTAAAGCCACTGTTTCATCTGCAACTCTATCTTTTAACATGTCCTCTGGAAATTCTCTATAACCTAGGTAGATAGATCATAAAAAAAATTCGGTGACATAGTGAAACTAAGTTCTATGAATTCAGGTTTTGTTAACAATTCACATTTTAACTTGTGAGTGAGCTTGATTTCTGTAATTTTTGGAACATTGAAGTGGCTGAACATCCAAGTGAGTGGTGTACCTCACTACTAACCTGTTTTTTCAGCTTGTTTTGCAATGATTTGAAGATTATATTGTTTGTACAATGAATGAGATTTATCCACCTTCTTTCCCATAGCTTCAAATTGATACAACTGAAACATGAAGCCAGGATTAGGCCTAAAAGAAAGGTACAAGAAATGTTGCAAGCCTAAATTTTTATTGCAAGTGGCAAAGCTGGACTCTACCAAGACTCATTGCCATTGGTCGGAGGTGTCAAGCCAATTTAAAGACTAAATATTCCCCAACATACAAAGTAAAAAACCAAACTTTTTATGTGTATTTTCATCATCACATATTGGTTATATTATGGAACATTATTCCTCCATCCCTAGGTGCATGGTGAATGTAATAATTAGATCTTGAAGTCTGTACAATTTATAGTCTTGGTTGATATTCATATTTAAAATACTCTATGCTTACTCAGCTTTTGGATATACAGCCTTTAGGTCCTGCAATGCCTGATTTAATGATATATTTTGACTGTACATTAAATAGGACAAAATTACTGTCGCACTTCTTGATATCCCTGCTGAACTAGAACAAAAAATTATAAACCAATGAGGTGACCAGCTGTTGCATGTAATTATCAATTTCGTCCAGTAATATCTGCTGGTTCATAATTACCAATGAACAAGAACTGTGCCATTCATCAAACCATCCTGAATAAAATCAATACATTCATCCAGATTACTAAGAAGGTCAGCCTCAAGTTGGTCAAGACAATTTATATGTTTTAGGACAATATTTTGATCGCCCTTGTCATATTTATCAGTGCTAGCCAGTGGTTCAGCCTCTATAGTAAGAATATGAGTTATGTCTGTGTCCTGAGTTAAACATGTAAATGCATCTTCTCTATTGCCAATGTACAGTCCATCTTTCAATATTTCTTTCATATTTTATGCAATGATTCTGACTTCTGAGAAGTCCAGAATAACAACAGTGAACATGAAGTACATCGGGTTGTGATTGACACGGTCTAATCCATCATGGACCTATTTCATGGACAATGGACTCTGGCCCATCGACTGGGTACAACGTAAAATATAAACCTGGGTACGAGGTTGAGTTCAGCCCACTAGACACCAGTTAATCACTAATCAGTACTTTGGCCTAATTACTATCATTTGTCGGGTTGAACCCTTCAGAAGTCGTGCTAGCTTTGATTCTTTGGCCACTATCCTAAAAAAATGTGGGCAAACGTTTGTGGTAAAATATTTATTTGGTTTTGGTTGCAATTTCTGCTGTCTTTTTGTACTTGACACCACAACACTTAGTCTCATATATTACAACTAGTGTCATAATGTCATTATACGTAAACTTGTTACACGCAGGTCGCAAACTTATCATTCGTAGCAAATTAGCTGCAACAAAAATTCTCGTGTGCGGCGAGGAATTGCGGTATTTTTGTCATTCATGATACATTTACCTGATATCAAACGTGTGTGTTTGATATTTTCGGCCACGAGTAACAAAATTTCCTAGTTTGCGGTCAACGAACGACAAGTTTTTCTGAAAGCAAGTAAAAAAACAGGGTTAAAGGTGTCACGAAAGATCTGTGTCCTTTGCTTGCTTTTGGAACAACTTGACGTTCGTTGACCGCACACTAGGAAACTATCAAACATGTTTGATATCAGGCAAATGTAAGACGATGATGATATATATTGACCATAATATGGCATTGGCAATGCCTGAAGAGTAGAGATCAAGTGCAGTTTTGTAAAATCTTCCCGACGCTCTGAAGTCTGAACTGCTTTATGCTTGCATTGCTTAGTATAATCAAAGGTCTCAATGAGACGACTCACGGATGCACGAATAGCCGATTCATTGTTGGCTAGTAGAAGATAACCAATAATACTTTTTAATACCAAGCGCGCAAAGCAGGTTGGTCGAGTTAATGACACTAAAGAATGCGAGACCGTTAGCAATGACTCCCTACTCCTCAAAAATAGATAATCAGGATAACAAACAAGTCCGTTGGTACTCGAGGAAACCAGACAACCGAGACAACCACATAATATTGGCGATGATCGCTGCCAAGATCGTGCATAACATGGTCTAGATATTTCATATTCGTTTTTTCTTGAATAACTTGGATCACGCAAATAAGATTTATTTATCGCGACGGAACCGCGGACTACCGTTATTTGAATAAAGCTGGGGTCAGTGATTTTGTGGTCAGTAGCGTGTCAAACGTCTTCATATGAACTGCCCGCCTCTTCTGAGAATGCGTCTATGAATGTGATATTGTGAAACTCTCCCAATTTCTTGGGACTGAGTATAATTCACTGGACATAACAATTTACTGGACACTCTGTGTTGTGAAACTCTCACAATTCCTTGGGACTATATAATTCAACTGACCGCGACACTCTAGCTAGCGAAACCTGCACACTTTACGTTTATTAAATACATATATTCCACAACAGCGATACAAATTTACAGAACAATTCACCGGACATAACAATTTACTGGACATGTGACTGTCCGTTTAAAGTTTACTTCTGAAGTAAAGTTTACTTCAGCCATGCAATCAACACTTCTTTATAGTTTACAGTTTCACGAGTAAATTGTAGAAAAGTAAGATTCTCTTCAGTCCACAAAAGCAATTTGGTAAAAAAATTCTGGGCTTTTCTTTAGATTTTTCAATTCTTTTTTCACATGATACTCGTTTGCGAAGTTAGTGTCTTAGTGACACGTAAAAATAATATATTCATCGCAACGGGCCTGGCTCTTGAGTCTTGACACTTGACCGTGATAATGCAGGTAAAAGATCAGTGACAGGAAGCAGGTCACAACCGCCACAGCAAGACATTCATTATTTAGCAGTTAGACTCTAGCCTAGGGAGGCACTACGATTATTTTGATGACTAATGTATTGTCGAGTCGAGATTAAGTTGAATTTGGCGCGCTGCCATTTTAGAACAGTAGTTTTAAGATACTGATTAAAAAAAATTATATTTAGGGAATATTAGTTTCCTTTTATTGCAAATGCAAATTTCTACTTTGACGTATAATGAATATTCATTAATTCATATTTTTTTAAGCCATAAATGATAAAAGCTAAATTGAATGAGTAATGTTTTTAATTTGTCGGGAACATTGCTTTTAAATTCGGCGATGGAACTCGATTCTCAAACATTGTCAATGTTTTGAAGAATATGGTAGTCTGGAATAACGTTTCCGTAAATGATCACTTAGTGATCTTTATTTGATTTTCTGATCACCGAACTCGACTGTTATAGTCTACGAAGCAGTGTTGCGTGGTTGAGACTAAAATTGAAAAGAGCTGAAACATCAACATATTTGATTTGTATTGATGCTTTGTTGCAACAAATCAAAAAGGTATTTGGATAGCATTTGTCCAGAGAATAGCTACATTTACAACAACGAACAATCAAAGACATGTAAAATACAGCTGATTGTACTGGTTACTTTAAAATATACACAAAATACAAAGTCCAAAGAGTGTTGATATTATTAAACTGATTAACGGCAATGGAAGACTTGACGTACAAAGTCGAGCGACCTCAAGAAGAGTACGAGTCGTCTGATTTAAACTCGGACAGCGGGGATTCGTCATTTCGTGATGCATGTGTATCGTGTATTGATGAAACCATGTTCCCACCAAGGCAAAAACTCCCTGAAAGCGCCGTCATAAAGCTGTCTACTCTCGCACGCAAGCTAGCAATGGCTACATTGTTTTGTAATATTGTTATAACAGCGTTTGGATTCTTCACTTCGACCGAATCCGACAGCATGGCTACATTTGGCTTCGCTTTCGATTCCTTCTTTGCCGTAATTTCCTCTGTCGTTTTGATATGGCGATTTTGGACGGACAATCCGGACAGCTACGTGGTAGCAAAACGAGAAACTAACGCAACCGCTGTTATTGCTGTATGCCTTGTCGTCTCGTCCATCGCAATTACTGGCCGTTCCATAAACTGTCTTTTCGATACAGACAAGCCTGGGAAACCAGCGGAGTTGATCATCCTAACAAGCGCTAGTTTGTTTGCTTATTCAGTGTTATTTCTAATAAAACGGGTTATCGCGGTAAAGTTAGGAAGTGGTGCTCTTATGACTGACGCAATGGATTCTCTATGCGGTGCTCTGTTTGCTCTCAGTATTCTCATATCTGCACTAGTTTTAGAGTTCACAGAAAAAGCTTGGTTTATGGACTCCACCATCGCTATTGTGGTGTCGGTATGCTCCTTCGTGTACGGCGTAATTGTGCTTCAAAAACTGATATGCGTCCATTTAAAGAGAGAAGAAAAAGCAATGAAAAAAGAACAAGGATACGATCTTCTTCAGCAGGAACAAACTGCTGAAGAGTAGAAATAAAATATGGAAAAATTACATTTGTTCAACTGAAATGACATATATAATTATTGATAATGTTGTTTAGAATTCGCCGTCACACTCACGCCCTCAGTAATGAATACGAGGGATGACAGCGCCTCACTAGACCATGAACAGTTAAAATTAATAATCTACTGAATTTCGCCTTCAGCAGCAAGCTATTCGCTGAGAATTGAAAGAAAAGAAGACCATAAAGATAAATGTTCTTAATATATATAAATTGAACGGGTGTGAAGTTTTAAAGAAGCTCAATTTTCGATTTATGATCGTCGATTGATCGACGATTCGCAAAGCCTCCCATTGAGTCTCCCATTGAAATGATACAAAGTGTTTTGTAATCGTGTCACTCCACTTAAGTGGCTACCCGTACACCCGTTTCACCCAGCCCTGAACCCGGGGGTTTTCATTTTCAAGATACAATATTGTTACATTATAGATTGAATAAATTTACTTGTACTTTGTAGACGGTCGCAGGTCTCGCCAACTTTTAATTTAATTGCCATATTCATGCCATGTTTATAAGAAAGAATGTTCTATTTCAAACTAATTATAAATGTTGTATCCAAGTAACACAAAACCAATTGCAAAATTTTTAACTGATCTTTGACTTCGCAAACAAATAAAGCACTTTCATGACTCCTGATTTGCATATTATGCTTTGCATAATTTTTACTGTTATAATTAATTTCTATGTTACTTATGTTAATTACTATGTTAGTATTAATTACTATGTAATTATTAATTCCCACTTCACAAGACTTAAACATATTTGTCCCGAAATATTCAGCGAAATTCAGCAACTGAGGACAACTTGGACAGGGGCTGTTTGACCTCCCACCTGATCTGCGGATGTTCCTTTCGTCTCCGGTGTGGACAGTGAGTGATCTCTGCCGAGTGCTAAACTGAGTGGTGCTATGTTAGCATTACCTCATTAGCATTGAAATATATGCGTTAGTATATAAGAAGATATATTGCAATGTATTTTAATATTTGTTTGTCATTAATTTATCCCTGTTTTATATCTTTGTACATGATCCGGAATGTAGACAGTGATTTCACTATTCAAACCAGGACGTTAAAAAGTCAAGCCTTCATTTGCTGTTGTCGAGGGTCGCCATATATCTAATGCCACAGTCTTGTATATCTAATGCCACGTACGCATTTTTCTGATACACTCATCGTGTCTATGCAACGTCTAGAAAGGCAATTACTCGGACAAAACCGGGAGGTTTAAAAAATGGCCCAAGTCTTGTTTTATTTTTGGGTTTTTTATTATTTTTCGTCGCCGCAAGTGTGTTTTGGCGCACACTTCGTATGTAGCTTTTAGCCAACAAAGTAACTTTGGTTGTTGATAACATGACAACAAAAGCTGTAGACGGGAGTATTAGGAATATTGCGTTGATTTGAAACATTGGCCGCCCGATTTATAATAGTGACGGATCATCCCTCTAGACGAACTTGGGCAAGCGAAAGATAGTTCGTCTTCTAGTTCGTCCTGAAGAAAAAACAGACAGATCATCGGACAATACGAATTATCCGAATAGACATACATAGGGCACTTTCCTTTAAGCAGCTAAAATGGTCAAACCGGTCATATTTTGAATTGAAATAGTATTTCCTTAAGAATATAGCGGGGAAACTGCATTTCCCCTGCTAGGCAGATGTAAAAAAACGATACATTCGAATGAAGAGTACTTGAAACACTATATACTTAAAAAATACCAGTAATCTATAGCTGTACCGAAATACAACAGGACGGTCTGGCCGTCTTTATCGTGTAAAGGAAAGCGCCCATAGTTCGTCTATTTAGATGAATTTGAATGGTAGTTCGTCCTGAAGCATCATCCGTCTGTTGCTTGTTGGTATGAATATGTGATGTGGACGAACTATAGAAACAATTGCATGCATGATAAAACGGCTCTTGTGCTTGTGCACACTTCTTACCACATAAATAATTTCCCAATTCCCGTGATTGCACTTTCCGAGTTAACGCGCGATTCTGTTTCGTTTGACATATTCGTCTACACTGATATATAGTTCGTTTATAGATACAGTGTGACGTGTATGTGCATGGGTATATTCAGACGAATGATCTGTCAGACGGATTATTCGGCTAGACCGTCTCTAGTATAAACTCGGGCCATTACAGGACCTTAAATTAAGAGCACTGACACTGTAAATTGTTTTACTGTTTTGGTCCTAATGATCTAAATTATAACAAAATAAATTTCTTATTCCTTTACACTGCCCAAGTTGGGCGGGAGAAAGGGTAAAGTGATGGTGCACAAGGACAAAATATAGTTGCATTAAGTATTGAAGGGTTCTTTTGTCGTAATATCGCAGAAAAAGTGAGAAATTCAAACGGTGGTATGAAACTAACCTTGGAGAGGTTCGAAGAAACTAAATCCTACTCAAGCAAACTTTAAGCTGCTTCGGTCATGCTGGGTTCCACAGTATTGAAAATGTAATAGGATCCTAATTAAAGAAAAGTATCATCCAATTCTTCAAAACATGGAATTTCATCTGGTACAAAGATGATCGTCCGTCTAACAACATGATAATCACCCTAAGCACATGCACATGTTCTATGTGCCAGATATCTTTTAGAAACAAACTCGTTCTCGTCATCTCGTTTTCATGGCTTTCCACCCCAAATTCCAGATCTAAAACTTATGGAGCACTTGTAGGACCGTTTTAACCGGAAAAGGGCGAGGCGCAGACCCACCAGCCAGGATGACTTGAGGCAAGTGGTCAACGAATGCTGGCAAGATATTGAACGTGCGACATTAAAAAATCTATGGAATCTATGCCAGGGAGAATAAAGGCCGTTTCAAGAGCAAAAAAGAGGAATACTAAACATTGACATTTAATGCATGTTTGCACATTAACATACGTTAAATGAATATTATAACATCTCATAGTTGTGCAGCATGTATTTTTCAGTTTACTTATTTACTTTTCTCTAATTCACTTATCGGTAAGGTTTTCTATAGAATATTAATATATGCTGCTAAAACAATGAAATACAGTCACTGGACTCAAACTTTTGCCTCCTACTGTATACCTTCGTGACCTTTTTAGAATCAGAATCAAACAAACGTAAACTATAAATTAAGAAGTAACAACCATGCATGCTCTCCACTTGCTCAAACCAACTGACACCAAGGCTTTAAAACGCAGTTTTAGTTATAAAAGAGCTGCGCCTTGGACTGAATAATATGAAAAAGAAAATAGAACATTTTAATGATGTTTTTAACATATATATAGTATTCATGCAAATTTCGTATTCCAGGTTAAATTAGTATTTTATATTCTTTATTTTTTTAACATTTTATAACTTTAACTTTTTTATATAGTAACAATAAGAACATGTTATTATATCTACAAAATGCAACGTTTGAAGCCCAAAGAGTGTTGGTATATATCATTAAACTGATCAATGACAATGCCGGAAAGACTTGACATACAAAGTCGAACGACCTCAAGAACGGTACGAATCGTAATTTGCCGTCGGACCCTCAGGAATGAATACGAGGGATGACAGCGCCTCACTAGACCGTGAATACTGAGTTAAATTAATCTACTGCATGAGTTTCACCTTCAAACAGCGAGCTATTAAATTTTACGCCAAGACCATAAAGATAAAGGTGTGAAAATTTGTGTTCAATATGAAAATTGAACGTGTTTAAACTTTAAAGATTGAATATATTGAAACTATACAAATTGTTGTAATCGTTATACTCCACGTGGGTTACCCGTTCTTCCCGTTTTACCCCAGCACTGAACCCGTGGGGCTCTAATTTAAAGAAATACAATATTGTTACATTATAGATTGAATAAATTTAATTGGTACTTATTATATTTGTAGTTTGTAAACAGATCGCAGGTCTAGCTTGGCAACCTCATGCCATGCCTCTAAGAAAGAACGATAAATGAATAATAAAGTGTTGCATCCCAGCAACACAAAACTTATTGCAAAATTTTTAATAACAATCTTTTTGGATAACAATCTTTGACTTCGAAAGCAAATAAAACACTGTCTTCACTCATGATTTGCATATTTTGCTCTGCGTAAATAATTACTATGTCATTCCTATTCCGCAAGAGTTCAACATATTTGTCCCGAAATATTCAGCAAAATTCAGGAAACTAAATTTGGACACGGCGGCTGTTTGATCTCCCACCTGATCTGCGGATGTTCCTTGCGTCTCCGGTATGGGCAGTATTTCAGACAGTATTAAGTACAAATTAAACCAGATATAATTTAATCACACTGGAGTTGAAAAATCGCCCAGGTTCTATCTTTGGTTTTTTCATTTCTTTTCACACATTTTAGCCAACAAATTAACTTTAAACATTAGCAAAACTGAGTATATGCAAGTTAGTTCAAGACGAAGCTTGTCCTAAGTTAGTGTCAATCCAATTTTATCAATGGAATCATGTTAGTGTCGATACAATTTTATCAGTTTTCAATATAACTACAAATCGAATAATTACAGGTGATTGCTAGCTACAGAACTCCCTCAGTCCCTCAGATACCATATAGTCACGTTCATGAAGTGTATTTAATCACAAAAGACTTGAGGTAGTACATCTAACATATATAACAACTCTATCCTTACAAAATACAATAGTACAAAAATGGAGACTGATTTTTACGCCGCTGACAATGCTAATGAGTCTAAGCCAGTAAACTGAAATAAGACTGGAATGGAATATGAACTCTTTCTTGTAGGTATGATCCAGGCCTCAACCCAGAAATTTCGTATGTAAAATGGCGGCAATTATGATTTTCCTTTGAAGTTTCCGCGCCAGAGGCCTGGATCATACCTACAAGAAAGGCGTATACAAGCGGAGAAGGGGGAACGGTGATGGTTTTGTACTCAATAGTCGGACAAATCGCGTTTCAGGGAGTCTAAATTTCACAACCCCCCCCCCCTAGCAGGCAAGACGCCTCCCATGAGTCCCATAGAAACGGGCATTTGCCAGCCATACGCCATTGTCACGCAGCTAATACTAAACTCTACATCTACTGCTTTTAACGTGCTCACTATCTATTGTTGTTAATGCTTTCGGCACATGAGAAGCACAACGTTTCATACAGGCAGGCCTTATGAACTCAAGACAATGTATTAATAGACCTAATCAGATTGATTTATTACAAAAATAATAGAATAGATACTTCCTGAATGTGCTTGAGTGGCACACAAAACAATAGCTTGGAAACGAGGTGGGCATGAAATCTATTGGAACAATTCGGCAAGTGTCTATTTTTATTCATATACTTGTTGGTACAGTTCAGGATGCACAAGTTTTTTTTCTTCCATAGACCAGGATTTATATTTTTTGTATAGTTTCACAAAATGTACCAAAGAATAAAACCCGTAGAAAAGCGAAAACACAGCTACACCAAGCGCTATAACGGAATCAAGAAACCATGCTTTCGTTGTGAATTCCCGAGTTGACGTAGTAACAACAATGCTGAGAGCCAGCAAAGCACCACACAATGCATCTATGGCATCCGTACGTAAGGCTCTGCTGCATAGTCTCTTGGCTATTCTATGCTTGTAAACAAACAAAATTAGGTATACTCCAACTGATACTGCAGATAGGATTAACAACAATTTAGATTTTTTGTGTTTTTCAGTCAGAACCAATGCCTTTATTGATTTATAACCGACCGAAACACCAGATATGATCAACGAAGACGTTATAGCGAATAATGCAATCACTTCGCGTCTTCGGTTACGACTTTCCAGCTCTTTCATCGACCAAAATCGCCATAATATAATAAATGACGCAAGACCAGCAAGCAGCGACTCAAAAGCAAACCCAAATGCTGCAGAACTGTCCGATTCTTCAGATGCCACCAAGCTAAGAACTGTAAATACTACCGTCGCTATTAATGTAGCTATTGCACCTTGCTTAGCTTTGGTCACTTCCCGTTGGATTTCGCTGACAGTTAGATGCTGTTCGGCACTTACTACGCTGATTAAATCGCTTGAAGGGTAATGGCCGATTGAGTTGTCGTCCTCTCCCGATTCTTCTATTAACAAATGACTTGACTTCTGTGATTGCCTTTCATTAAACGACGAAGTACCTCCATATGAATATGATGTTACCGACGACAGTAATTCCTCACGTTCCGACATACTAGACAAATGAACTACAGCCAAGAAGTGATCGACTAATCCAATTGCCCCGTTTATTTCCTCGAAAGTTAGGCATTTTAGTTTATATATCCAATCAATAAGCACGTGTTGGTTGTGTGGTGTATTTTAGTCCAAAATCGGGTTATTGTGCATTGGTCTGCATGGCTTTTGTCAAATAGCAAACCAAGCCAGGTAGACAGCCTGCAGTACAAACACCTTTGATGTGTCATCAGTTACGTAAATGTTGTTTGGCTTAAAAACCTTAACCTTCACGCATATAATTTAACGGCAAGTGAACATGCACGAGATGTGTGTGACAACAGTACACATTAGTTGATATTGGCATCTGTTAGACGACAAAAGTTTCAGTTCTATCAAAGCGTAATGTCCTAATCTGTTTGAGTCTGACGTTCATGTGACCATCTGTGAATGGATCAATTCAGTTACTGCATGATGTATCAGTAAGAAATATTTGTGTTATAAACCTGTGAATAAACAAGGTTACATATAGTAACCAAGGTATGGGTGCCAAAGACCCAAAATGACTGGCGTTGCGGTTCCTTCGATAACGTTTTGGCATGCAGTTGTTCATTTGATCATACATTTATATTAGCACAGGCATACGAAGCGGAGACAGGAGACGGGAGTTGCAGCTCCAGATTACTGAGATTAGGCATAACTGCAACATACAATGTGTGCTTTGCTATTGAATCAGTCACACTGTTGGGCAATGAGAGTTTTTGATGAAGCGGATTATCACAGAAATACCATCGTTTAGATCGTCGGTGCATGCATGCAGGTGTAAATCAGCTTTCTAGGGAAAGTGGTAACTAAGACGATGGACAACCACCTGCAGATGCCTGAAGGCTATTTTTACGAAGGTCCCCACTTGGCCACTTCCGCGTTATAAGCACTTGAGTCTTAAAATTGTGAAGTGATAATAATATCTAAAAAATCGCAATACCCGATCCTCTTCTTGAAGCTTCTCATATTGTAAAGGTTATCCCATTTGCAGGGAATAGCAAATTAATAGGTGAGCAAATTTTTGGTGAAATAGCAAGCAAAAATGTCGGCCTGTACGCCTTCGATATGCAATATCTTACATCTTCAATAATAGAGTCTGGAGACATGACATGAAACTATTAATTCGGGCGTGTGCACTTTCAATAATTCATTATGATAAAAAGTTGGTGAAATGTGAATTGCTTTGTTATATTGGTTAGACATTAAAGCGACTAAACTGTGCTGGAATCATTACGAATATTTAAGGCTGGTAATACTCAAAGTAGGCTATTCTAGAGAACTAGAAGCTTAAAATTTAAGAAGTGAGAAAGATAAGTGAGAAAATGCCCCATGTATGTATGCGCCTCTTCTTGAGGTTCACTGCTTGTGATGAGGTTCACCACAGCTTTTATTGTGTACATTTACAACTTTGATGAAGTATTTGAACCTTGTTAAGCTGTTAATACCATGCATGTTAAGCTGTTTAAACCAAACCTAATAGTTATATAACTTCACCGTAGCACGAGAAAGAACGAATATGCAGGAATGTTAATTACTTGTGCTGTTGTGCATAGAATTTTATGCGTTATGCAGTGCACGTGCACATGTAAATGAGATGAGAATATGACAACAGGAGACAACAGAATAGACTATTGTGTACCACCGAATAAATCACAGCAAACACAATTTTGTGTATTACTAGCCTGAGTAGGCTAGCATATTACATAATTATCTTTGAAGTTGTTCATGTTGCCAGGTAGTACACGTTACCATGCACTTATCTATATGGTCTTTCACTATATACAGTAACTTATTTTAATACCGGCCCAATAAGAGTATCACTTATGCTATAGAAAGCATATAACACGATTTCGATTAAAATCATCGAGAATCATATAATCTTGCAAATGATGATTGAATAACTAAATAGTATATAAATTAAAAGAGGCGCCTGGGACGACATGTTCAAACTGAATTGATGTGTTAGAAAGGGAAGTACTTGATGAATAATATAAGAGAAATGGTCCACTGCAGGATATTATAAGATGATCACTTTAACGATATAGCTGTACACCCGTGTACTACATAAGAGTTTTATACTTGCATGGCAACGAACCGTCAAACGTCGACGAATTCGGGAGTTCATTGCACGAGAACAAGACTGATAATGCTATCATTTATTATACAAAAAATTATGTTTTTGAGGTTTTATCTTCGTTATTTATACGTCGTTAAGACGTACAGATGCGCCTTAGCCCTTACCATGCAATAGCTGAAAACTTGAATATATGCATGTACCCTGGCTGTCCATATATTTTACGCATCTGCGCTCAGCTTAGTGCTGAGGTATAGAAATTCTAACAATGGGCTATTTAGTTTAAGAACCTGTACTTGTTTTCGAAATAAATAATCACGTATGCATGAAGACGAAAATCGTTCCTAAATTAACTCGACGCTCACAAAACCTATAATCTTTCGTCCATATAAGCCTTTATGTTTAAACACGCATGTCACAACAAAGGCGCGAACCTCTGGGAACGAGCATTTGACGATTCTTTCGTCGCGTGAAGCTATTCGTTCGCTCTCATTCTACGGTCTAAGTTGAACTATTTAAACGGATACTGTACCGGATGGTTGAAGTCTTGAAGACTGCTTTGCCTCCTTTAATCCTTATGCATCATGGTATTCTACCAAGGATCATGCTGGTTGTGAATGAATCCTTGACTTTGAAATAAAGACGAAATATCATCGCAAAATTGTTGCCTTGTTTTTATGACTTCTCACTTAAGCCAGCGGTAATTTACAACCCCGCCGGAAAAACAAAAGTTTGCAATGATGAGAAGTCCCCTTCCATGGTCAGTGATAATCGACAAATAAAAATCGTTGATGCATGATTGTGATCATTTTAATACCCTGTCATTTTCATTTTTTTGTTATTAAAGTGAAAATTTCTATATGGAAGTTGTCATTAGTTTTTTTCTATTGCACGCTTGTTCTCACCATATATTGCACACGTTTTTATAGTTATTTTGAAACAATCATAAGAATTAAATTGGAGCTTATTATAAACATCAGTGTTTGTAATAATTTTTGCAAATCATTTGCAAAATGTTTACATTGGATCTACTTTGGTGTCATATTAAACAAATAATGATTGTTCCCACAATGGTAAGAATATAGCTATACTTTTATTCGTTGAAAGATGTATCGCGTTCGCATCGTTCGGAATGGAACATTCCAGCTTTCATCTCACGAAATTATTCTCAACCACGCATTATTGCATTCATAGACATTCATTACATAACTATAATACTGCATGATAAGAAAATGCTTTGTGCTTTTCGAAGACATATCGTCTGTATCCTTTATGCTTTTCGAAGACATATTGTGATTATTGTCTGAATTTCTCTTAATACTTTCACGTAATACTATTTCTCTTAACAAACTTATATAGCTCTTTCTTAGCTTCAACAAGAAATATTTCTCTGAGATAAGAAAATAAAGAACCAACTAAAAAATATTTCAATCCTAAACGATTATTTTCATCAAACAAGCCGACATTGTATCCTGCTGACTAATGTATGATCGGTGGTTTGCAATTTTGCAATGACAAAAATAACCACTCAGGAAAAATATTTTATTGATCGTAGATAATGCGTAATTAAGATTTTGGAATTCGACTTGAGTTCATTATGATCAAAGTCCACTGAAGTAATGATTTTGCATAATGCGCTGGCAAACATTAAAACTAAAAGTCTGCAAAACTAAAAGCTGGTTTAGAAGTAGAATCGACAGTTGGCTCCGTTTTCGAATTGTTAACTGTAATCCGTAAAGGAGTTTTTCCTACAAACTGAGCATTTCATGTTGAATGACCTCTGACAATTAGAAATCACTGACTTGGAAATAAACGTCGGTCATGCATGTGCCTATACTTCAATCATTTTTTATCTCAATTTTTTATTTGGAAATTTACTCCCCATAGATATAGATCCTCAAAAAATGTCTCTGCATGATCATCTGAAAGATATTTACAAATAATTAGTAAAATATTTACTGATAGTTTTCAGTTATGGATTTTGCTATAATGATAGTTAAAATTCACTATTTTGTGGGCGTAGCCGTAGCCGGGTCAGTAAAAGCCGTTGCCTCATATATATTGCCATATTGCCTCGATTTCCATTATTAGGGACCTTAAGCATGTAGGACGGCATTACGGTCTAAGTTGAACTATTTAAACGGATACTGTACCAGATGGTTGAAGTCTTGAAGACTGCTTTGCCTCCTTTAATCCTTATGCATCATGGTATTCTACCAAGGATCATGTTGGTTGTGAATGAATCCTTGACTTTGAAATAAAGACGAAACATCATCGCAAAATTGTTGTCTTGTTTTTATGACTTCTCACTTAAGCCAGCGGTAATTTACAACCCCGCCGGAAAAACAAAAGTTTGCAATGATGAGAAGTCCCCTTCCATGGTCAGTGATAATCGACAAATAAAAATCGTTGATGCATGATTGTGATCATTTTAATACCCTGTCATTTTCATTTTTTTGTTATTAAAGTGAAAATTTCTATATGGAAGTTGCCATTAGTTTTTTTCTATTGCACGCTTGTTCTCACCATATATTGCACACGTTTTTATAGTTATTTTGAAACAATCATAAGAATTAAATTGGAGCTTATTATAAACATCAGTGTTTGTAATAATTTTTGCAAATCATTTGCAAAATGTTTACATTGTATCTACTTTGGTGTCATATTAAACAAATAATGATTGTTCCCACAATGGTAAGAATATAGCTATACTTTCATTCGTTCAGTGAAAGATGTATTGTGTTCAGATCGTTGAATGGAACATTCCAGCTTTCATCTCACGAAATTATTCTCAACCACGCATTATTGCATTCATAGACATTCATTACATAACTATAATACTGTATGATAAGAAAATGCTTTGCCTTTGTGCTTTTCGAAGACATATCGTCGGTATCCTTTATGCTTTTCGAAGACATATTGTGATTATTGTCTGAATTTCTCTTAATACTTTCACGTAATACTATTTCTCTTAACAAACTTATCTAGCTCTTTCTTAGCTTCAACAAGAAATATTTCTCTGAGATAAGAAAATAAAGAACCAACTAAAAAATATTTCAATTCTAAACGATCATTTTCATCAAACAAGCCGACATTGTATCCTGCTGACTAATGTGTGATCGGTGGTTTGCAACTTTGCAATGACAAAAATAACCACTCAGGAAAAATATTTTATTGATCGTAGATAATGCGTAATTAAGATTTTGGAATTCGACTTGAGTTCATTATGATCAAAGTCCACTGAAGTAATG